TTTGAATAGTGCCATCAAATGCATATTTTAAAATAATTCCCAGTATATGTTTGATTTTCTTCAAAGAATTAAATTTTCAGTGAATAGCAAGTTACAAAAGACATGGGTAGGAAATTACAGGGAGGAAGAAGATAAAGAAGGACATTTAGTTAACTGAACACTTGCTATATTCCCCACTCCAGTAAAGAACCAAGATTGTTGTTTTTTTCCACCCATTAGTTTAAATAATCAGTTTCATGCTTTAAATGTTTATACAGAGAAACAATAAATAAATCTCTTAGAAATGTTTATGTCCAAAAATTATTTTGAGGTGGTCATCAAAATTTCATTTTCAAATTCATGCATGAATCAATTTAGATATTAGATTAGAGAGTAGTAATGCTGGACAGAAATACACACACAAAAAGGTCCAGAAAGGTTAAGTGGCTTCCTCAAAATTGCAATTTGTTGAACTAATAACCCAGAGTAGCATTATTCATATTTATGATTTAGCAGAATATCTTTCATTTAAGTTCTGTTAAATGTTTTTATAAAGATCTTATGAATATAGATGCATTTAATATGAATAACTGAGAAAGAGTACAATTTGGATAGTAGTGGATTTTACCCACTCATAAAATGCTACAAAATCTTTGGATGTGAGAAATCTGGAGAAACAAAATCATCTTAATTGATTGATGTTTGTAATACAACAGAATGCAGTCAGGGAGTTAGGGAGGAAATAAACTGTATTTCTCTCCCTGTGTGGTTCAGTAATAAATATCTGCCYTTCACAGTGCTTGTACTTTATATTCTCCTTAAATATTCATTTTCTTTTCCATTAGAAACAGTTGGTATGTTATTAATATTTGAGTAGAATGTTACAAGTTCCAAATCCTATGTAATATTTCTTGCAATATTACTTCTTTTGGAGTCTTAGAATCTGGTAAGAAAGAAAGAAATTATCATGTCTTTCATCATCATGTAGGCACAAGACTGACCAATAAAATAAATACAGAACAGAATCTCCAATCAGTACCAATAAGCTGGTACTATTACTAAATTTTTATGACCATGAATGACATTTATTATTCATTCAACAAGTATTTGTTGAGATCCTCCTCTGCATTGGGCTAATCTTTTAGATTCTGTAATGTTTTATTAAACAGCTTAATTATAATTTGTCAAAAAGTTCTCCTAAATAAGATCCGAGTTAAAAGGAACTCAAGGATAGGATCAAGTATAAGGTCATAATGGAAAGACCTAACACTTGTTTGGGAAATATTATTTAATGCAAAATCACTTTCAAGGCCACTAAGAATCAAGGAATTTAGCTTTAAAATAAGCCAAAACAAGTTTCCTATTATTTTCCTATTTAATTTCCAATTGGAGAGAAGAGGTTCAGCAAATAATTCCTAAGTATTCTATGACATTATACCTCGATAATATGAAATATTTTGAACTATCATTTCTGCACATTATAGGATTATCAGGACATTTATAGTAAACATAACAATTTTAAGCTGATATTGGCTTACCACTAAGATAATTTTTCTCAGTTTCTACTTCATATTGTCAAATTTATGGCTGTTATAAAATATGTGACTACCATAGTTTTTCTTTTACAGAGTGTAATACTGTTAGATATAAAGAATTCAGCATATATTCTTATTAGTAAAACCTATAATAAATAAATTTACATATTTTTAATAATAAGATCTTTAATTAATAATTAAACATTCAGACCATTGATGTTATAGCTTTGTGATATTTTGAATTCAAACATTTTAAATKGTCTGTTCTGTTTTTATATCCATAATATAATAATATATCACTGAGCATAATTATTTGTTTTTATRTCCAGCCACAGGCAAAATCAATACATATTTTACATGAAATATCTTTATGAAGAATTGTAATCTATAGGATTTAATAAAGGAGTAGTTGAGAATCAGGTACCTTTTGATGGTTGCATTTCACTTAAATACTATGAGAGCCCATTTTAATCTACTAAACTTCAACTCCTAAAATATTTAAACCAGAAAGAAATATTAGCAAGTTTTACCCTTTATTTATTGCATACCTTCAAAGGTTGAAGTTCTTTCACAGAATGCACCATCATGTAGACACTAAGCAATGCCAATAGACATTCACATTTATAGGCACTCAGACATACTTTTATGGTAAGGTGGGAATGCAAAGAGAACAATTATGGGATTAAGAGAGAGAGGCCATTACATTTTAATCTTAACTACTCTCACTAGTTGTGTTCACATGCTCCCCCAGTGTGTGTGTGTGTGGTGTCTGTGTGTGTGTGTGTGTGTGTGTGTGTGCATGCCTATCTTGAACAAATAATATCTCTGGATCACATTAGTTCACAAATAGAAAGAAGAGATAGGTTTATAAATATTGCTGTAATTTTATCCTTCCCTAAATCTTACAGATCAATGGACCCAGAAGTGAAAAGTTCATTAATTTTGGCACTTCATATCAAGAAAACTTATTATTCTGGGACTTGGTAAGGGGTTTCAGTAAGAAGATGCACCAGTTAAACACTTATTGCCTTGGCTTAGTTCACATTATCAGCATATAATCATAGTCACAATACAAGAAAGAGCTCAAATTTGGAGTCAGCAACAGAGGAAACTTAACTCATGTGTTTCAGGTATTTGAAATAATCAACATCCACTTCAGCAATGGCAAGTTGAAGTGACCTTGAAAGCTTTTCAGCTTTCAGAGAAGTCTTGGGCTTTCTAAATGTGTTAGCAATGCATTTTCTTTAGATCCTTCCTCTCTATAGATAGAAATGACAAATAAATGTAAATATATGAATCTGACTATTTATCAATAAAATAAATATAAATGGATGTATTGACTAATAAGTCATACATACAAACATGCTATATTTTTAATAAAGAGAATAAATATTATATGGGGGAAAAAAGGTAATATAAAGGGAACCAAATGCGTAGACAAAGTTTTCAGCTGAGAAACATGTCAAGTTACTAAACAACTGGGAAACTTTGCTAACGTGTCTTATTTTATTTTATTTTTCATTAAATCAACAGTGATACATATGAACTCTGTTGAGAGTAGTATGTGTATAAACAGACTCAGGCTGGAATTGAAAGGAAGCTTTCCTTTATCTCTCTGCTTAATTGTGAGTTCCTTTTAAGGCAATGATAGCACCCTTTTCATCTTTCTGTGCTGGCTGTGGGACTGCCTGATACCAAGTGCCTATTCACTGTGACTGAAGAAATGAACCTGGGGAAGAAACCATCCTCTGTTCAATGCAAGCAACTTCCTTTGCTCAAATCCTTCCAGTGCTAGGGAGAGTTCATTCTTTCCATAAGGCAGTCATGATTGTTGGGCATACTTCCTTCTTACTGAATTGAAATTTATCTCTATTTTCTATGTGGTGTATAAAATTGTGGGGTTGAATGCTAATACCAACATGCAGAAAGATGATTAAAATAAGTCACAAATACATCAAAGTGGATACCATCAGAACTATGTAATCTCTTTTATGATCTTTGGATAAAATGGAATAAAATCACTGGATATTCCTTTGCAGAATGCTTTCCTTGAAGAATCTTTAACATCTGACTTTTCTTACCCACTATTTCTGCTTCTATCTAGCTCTTCCTTCCTCTAACACTATAGGGAGAAATGCTGTAGGCAGATGAAAGTTCAGCGATAAATTTCTCCAAAAGTTTAGTGTCATGATAGGATTATGTTGGTTCTATAAAGCCCTGAAGACCCTAGTCATATGTGCTAAGTATGAATAATTACTGAAATGGTATATAAAACATCATCTCCATAAATTAGTACCACTAGGCTAGAACTGTCACTTCACTGAAACAAACAAATATTTCCCCGTGACTTTCAATGCCATTATCTCTTCATTTAACAAATATGTATCTAGATCCTACTCTGTGTTGATAACAATGTGTTTCCTGTAGATCCTCATTTTATTATATTTATCCACTTATACTTCATACATTGATGATAGTTTATTTAGATTCTCTTAAGTGACGGGAGAGATCTTTCAAATGTTATGTCTATTTATTTGTCCATATAGTAAAATAAAACTATTTTAAATATTTGGGCTTCAGAAAAAAATATTTTAAATTGATAAGTAATTAAAAATTAAACATAAATAGTACCATTTATGAATATGATGTACCTATAGATATATGTTTCATTCTTATTTGAGGAAATCATTTGCTATGTTTTAAAAGTGAGTGTTATTAGGATTGGGAAGAGCACTATCCTAGATCCTATTAAGTGTTATTAGGATTATTTTCTGGGCACTGAAAAATCATAACAAATTGGATATTTAATAATTCTTGAAGACTTAAAATTAAGATCATGAAAATAGGTGGTTACATTTGCATGTCAAAGTAATGAAAATAAAACAGAGATCTAACAGCTCCCTGAATAGAATAGTTCTGCTTCTATCTTTCATATTCAATACATAAATAATTTTCTTTGCAAATGCCCCAAACAGATAAACACTGATCAGATAGATAGATACACACTTTGTTTGACTCTGAAATCTTAGAGGTTATAATTTGATTATATACATTCTTTCTTTGTTAACGTTTTTCCAACTTGGAACTAGAGATTATAATATTTAGCAAAATATTTCATATTTTAAGATTGCATCTTAATTTCCCAAAATGATTAAAGAGATGATCAGTGTAAAAAGAACAATCAAATCATAAACATATTATAGAGTACTACAAAAATATGAAAAAGAATGTTTATAAATGATAGTGAAGAATAAATTATTTTTTCAGTGCACATAATTAGCTATATACAGGATAATTTAAAACCAAATGGAATGATAGCTAATGCTGAGGCTCTTAAAAATCTTCATCAAAATATACATGTTACCCGAGAGAAAGTGATAAAAATAAGTTGTGACATGAAAACAGTGGTGTTTTTCTTCGTATCCTCAAATTTTGGATGATATCTCATCAAAGTATTTTACTAAATGTGCAGATGATGGAAAAACTTTAATTCCAAAACCATTTCTCTAAATTGCCAACGGACTTGTATTCTTGATGCCTTTTTACATGATCACAAGCCAAGCATGCATGTGATTCCCAAAACCGTGGAAGATTTACAGTGAAATCTTTCCTCCAGTTAAAGTAACTAAGGTATAACTTATTGTTTTTGTCGACTTCCTTCAGATACTTGGCTAGCTCACTGGGAGAGTTATAATCTTCCACATGAATGAACGAATCCGCTGGAATATAATTCTCATAGTTTTCCCTAGATGGTCCCAGAACAACAGGTACAGAGCCAGCCAAAAAAGCATTGTAGAGCTTTTCTGTGATGTAATCTTTATGGATTGAGTTTTCAAAAGAGAGATAAAATTTACAAGTAGAGATGGTAGGAATCAAATTTTTATCATTCACATATTCTCCAAATGCTTGCCCATAGGTGTGGATTTCAATACTTTTGCTTAGCTCATTGTAATACTTGACCCTGGCATGTTCAGGGTTCCAGTTACTTACAACCCAGCACACCAACTTCTCTTTGCTTGGCACTTCAAACACGAAGGGGTTTGTGCTCACCGTCAAGAAGCCATAAGGCACTTGGATATCTGAGTCACGGCGGTAGGTTAGAGTCAGGTTGAACAGATGCTCAATACCACTCTTCTGGGGAGTATGAGTTGGTGATTCCAAATTCATCCAAATCCATTTCTGGAAGGGCGGTCTGGCCTGCTGAGGTAAATTAGTCAGATCCCAACTGATGTCTCGGTGATGTATCAGGACTGCGTGAGATTTGTTGTACAGTGAACGGTCTGTTGTGAGATGACATCCTTGGATATTGAACATTGCTTGGCAGGATGTAAGGTCAAAGGTTTGCCCAAATGGCCACACCCACACCAGAATAGTAGTTTCATTAAAATAATCAGTTTTGGTGGAGAAGAAATTTTTCATTTTTAGCACTGAGCTGGCTGACTCCATTGGGCTGAAAATCCAGCTGTTGGTGGGCTTGATGTAAATAAGCAGACATGCCATGAAGCAGCCCAAGATAATGCAGACAATTAAAAATGGGCGGAGAATTCCTTTGGATGTTGATGTCATAATTTTTTCTGGGGAACAGAGAAAGGAAGGGTTAGTGTAAGGATAAAAGAGATACTTATAATAGTGAGAAAAAAGAGAAAGAGATGGTACATTATAAAATAAACAATCACAAAATAAACTGTTTTTCCTTTTCAGTGTTATCAAACCATTCAGAAAAAAAAAAAAAAAAAAAAGCTTTCACTCAAGCAAAGAAACTGATTTTAATCAAAAGTTTTCCAGAAACTCCTCTCTACAAATAATGAGTCAGAATTTGTTCTAAATTTATCTGGATATTTTCAAACCAAGTTACATTTTTCTTTAGTGTCATCCATACCAGTTCTATTTTTACTTCCTTGTAGAAAACTGGAACAATATAGACTGTCCTCACTAAAGCCGTGACAAAATTTTTTTTAATATGTTGATACTCCATCATATTTGTGAACATTTGTAATTTGATATAGTCACCTGTTTGCTAGCATATTTAGACTATAACTTTTTAGTTCAGATGAAATTCAACAGAAAACTGAACTTTTAAAAAGAGAAAGTATGATGATGATGATGGTGATTATTTTTGCCTATGCAAGTTTATCTTTGCTGTTTACAAATGTATTAGAACAGTAATGTGATTTTACCTGGCAACTCTTGACTTGACATCTTATTTTTTAACCTTGTAATACCTTCATTATTTTTATCTTAGAAAAGCTTCTTTTGTTTTTATTTATATAGTTTTCTTACAATATTATATGTATTAATAATTCTGTAAAGGATCCTGAATCTACCAGGTTGTAATAACTAAATGCTCTACTGGCTTTAGAATAGCAATTTCTTTTATGTAGTATCAAGGTATTTAAAATGTTTTCTTTGTGTGGGATATTCAAGATAGTGGATTAGAAGAGGCCTGCATTTCTAGTTGATCCGTGGCTTAGGATTTATGCATGAAGAGTACTCCCACAGTCAGGTAGATGAAAGGGAATTCAGAAACTCCTAGAGTCCCAGAAATTCAGATGCATTGAACAAAGGGCTAGAAAGTGTAAAGCTGGTGGTGGCAGTGGCAGCAGCACTGGTTCAGTGCAAAGGGGAGAGAGAAACACAATGCACAAATTTGACAGAAAAACAACTATAGAACAGAAAAGCAAACTGAACTTAGCTGAACCAAATGTTGTACAATGAGCTAGTCTTGAACATCTGAAAAATGCTCTGTGTTTCTCAACTGGCCAATGAAGTGGAGGCTGGGAGCCATTTTGAATAGGCCACATTGTGGCTTTTGCTGATGCAGGAGCCCATGGCATCATAGCAAATATTGTCATACTGTCCCAACAAGTGCCCATTGGGTGACCTAGGGTGTATATAGTGGATTAAAACAGACACAGAGAAAATTGTACCCCAGGAATTCAAATCAGAGATACAGAAGGGAGTGCAACTTGCTTTCCCTTTGAGTCTGGTGGCTCWCACTATCAGATGATGAGGGTCAGGAAGTCAACAGGTGAGTGTGATTACACTTAGGATTGAGCCTGGAAAGGGCWACACAGGTAGCAGGTGGAGTATGTGAGACCCCTGCAGGGTTGTCTCTCCTGCTCTACTAGTAACTTCCTGAGAGGCCCCTAAGAAGCAGGTATTGAATTGCCCTAGAAATGGGTATTTACCTGGATCTAGGGATGTGGTAATCTAATCTCTTCAGAGCAGACACCACCCAATGAAACTCCTAAGGCCTGATTAGAGCTAAGCCCAGATACTAGACCTTCCCATTTAGAACTCTATAGCAGTCCAATTCTGGAAGCACACAGATATGTTCTGTCTGGACAAAATTTCAATTGACATTATTGCCCATTTCCTCCTACCTTACTGTGGTTGCAGATCATTCCAACTGGCAACTCGGTGGGCAACACAAAAAGAAGGATTTAACAACTCCTACCTTTTGCTCTCTCTAGAATACACAGCCCAAGAAGGACAGTCTTGTATAGGCAGTGAGCATCCATCCTTGTTGACAGCTTGGACCACCTCAGAAAAGACAATTCTTTCATTTGTGTTTAAGAATTTCTTTTCCTCCTCCTCCTCCATTTCCTCCTTCCTCTTCTTTGTATTCTTGCTGTGCTGTTGGTTCACKGCTATACATATATGAATATACTTATTTCCTTTTTTCTTATTCATCATGTTTTAAACATGTATTGTTTTTCTTTGTTTTGTCTTTTGAAGGTTATGTTTTTTTGTTTGTTTGTTTACTTGTTTCCCTCTCTTCCCCTTTTTTCCTCCAACAGCCAGATTCTATTGTTTGTTCTTTCTCTATTTTGTTTTCTTTTTTCTCCCTCTATATAGCTATCACTGACTACATCTCTTCTGCTTTATTTCTGTTCACATTTTGAATATTCTAAATTTCTTTTTCTTCTAGTCACATTTTCTTTTAACAAACTGTATTTTTTGCCATCTTTTAAAACTATTTAATCAAACATAATTGCTGCCCCACTATTGATATTATTGTAATTATTATTACAGTGGATGACAAAGTTGACACCTGCTATTTACTTTTATCCAGTACATGACTATTTATTGTTGTTGCTGTTTGTAATTTTTGACCCCACCATTTTTGTTTTTGAGATAATTAGTCTTGTAGTTGTTGAAGTAGGCACCAGGTGTTTACTTTAATGCTGAATGTTGTTCACTACTCTTCTTGCTGTTGTTTGCTTTCCCTTTTTATGTGAAGTGCTGGGAATTAACTGAGACACTGCAAATCACAGGGTACAGATTCCGATGCTGAGTTACTCCAAAACCCAGAAAGGGACAGTCACCTTGCTCATACACAAACTAGTCATGTTCACACTTTAGTGACACTAATGATATTAAAGGGGCAGTAACCCCTAACCAATGTCCAGGCCCCAAGTAGAAATAGTTAGGGGACCCTCAATCCTACTCATGGGCATCCACTCCAACAACAAAACCAGAATTTAGAAAAGACCATGGTTACCACATCTACAAGGGGCCTTAATCTAGAGTTCTCATATGACTCTTTAAAATATACAGATTTCTTAAGTGACAAAAAGCAATCATAAAATTGTACCAAACATACTCTGCTGTATACAACACAATTGCCAGATCAACAAGAAGTACTCCACTTTTGTGAGACCTACAGGGAAAGTTGGATCTCAATCTTTGACACAATACACATGGTCAAACTACACTGAGCATCAACAAAGAACAACAAAAGAACTAYACTACAAAACTTTATAGGACAAATTAAGAAAAGTACAGATCAATATCCCTGATGTACCAGAAGCAAAAATCCTCAATAAAATATTAGAAAGTTATAAACAACAATATATTAAGGAAATTATACAATATAACCAAGTTGGTTTTTATTCCAGGGTAATAAGGATGGATAAGAAAATCAATAAATGTAATTCATCACATAAATATAATTAAGGACAAAAATCACTCATCTCAATAGATACAGAGAAACCTTTCGATGAAATTCAGCACTCACTAATGATAAAAAAAAAAACTAAATAAAGTAGGGATACAAAGAATTTACCTAAATAATAAAGGCTTTATATAACAAACCCCAAACTAACATAATAGTGAATGAGGAAAACCTTAAAACACACATTTAAAACTCTGGAATTAGATTTGATTCAATATATAACTAGCAATTCTAGCCAGAGMAATTAGGCAAGAAAAGAAATAAAAGAGACAAAAATAGGGAAGGGAGAGCTAGAATCATTACTATTTGCAGATTATCTGATCCTATGCTTAGAAGATACAARAAAGCTCCACCAGAATTTTGCTAGAGCTAATAAAAAAATTCAGCAATGTAACAGGTTACAAATCAATAGCTTACTTATATAATTATAATGAAGCTGTTGAGAATGAAATAAGGAAAACAATGCAATTTACACAAGCCTGTAAAAAAAAAATCTAGGCATAAATCTAACCAAGGAGGAGAAAGACCTCTACAATGAAAGCTATAAAACACCAAAGAAAGAAATTGAATTAGACATAAGAAGATAAAAGGAACTCTTATGTTCATGGAATAGACATAAGTAATATTATTAAAATGATCACATTACCAAAAGCAATGCAGTTCCCATGAAACTACCAATGACATTCTTCACAGAACTAGGGGGAAAAAAGTTCTAAAATTCACTTGAATGGGCATAAAAAATGATCCTCAGCCAAAAAAGCAATGAGGGAACCATTGTAATAACTGGCTTCACTTTTTCTATGGAGCTATAGTAATTAAATTTGCATGGTATTGGTATGCAGTCCAATGGAACAGAATAGAAGAAAACTATGTAGAAAAAAGAAAAAGCAAAACACAGAGGCAGAACCACTCAGATACAGTCATTTGATCCTTGAAAAATGTGCTAAAAATATATGCTGGCAAAAAGACAGCCCTTTTAACAAATGATGCTGGGAAAACTGGTTATTCATATGTAGATGAATAAGCCTAGATACTTACATCTTACCCTACCAAAATCAAATCAAAATGGATTAACTACCAGAAAATAGACCATAAAGTTTATAGCTCCTGGAAGAAAATTTAGGGTCAATACTCCACCGTAAATACTCAGGCAATGTCTTCCTTAATAGGACTCCCAAAGCTCARGAAAAAATATTAAAAATTAATGAATAATATGGCATCAAATTAAAATCATTCTGAAAAGCAAAGGGAATAATTGAGATTGTGAAGAGAGAAACTACAAATGGGAAAAAAAGTCTTTGGTATCTACTCTTCTGACAGAATTAATATCTACAGTATATAAAGAACTCAAAAAACTTGCCAYTAAATCCTAAAGAACCCAATTAATAAATGGGCAAATGAATGAAACAAGCACTTCTCAAAAKAAAAATCAAAATGGCCAACAAATATATGTTCAATAACTTTGGCAATTAAGAAAATGAAAATCAAATCTACACTAAGATTACATCCCACTCCGGTTGAGAATGACAGCAATCAAGAGTGCAGACAATAACAAAATCTAGAAAGGATGTGGAGAAAAAGTAAGAATTTTACATTCTTGATACAAYTGTAAATTAG